AGTTAATTTCGACACACAATTTCTTTTACTACAAATATTGAGATTTTTAAGCTTCAGCATGCCATATTGGAAGATTTGGTTGTGTTGATGTTACTATTGCATTCTTTAATATACAGAAGCATTTAGATGGGGGTAATTTGATAAAAGCTGATCTATATAGGTGTCATCATCATCTATCTTTTGTTAGAATTTAAAGGAACTAAATCGCTAATATTTGGGACCTAGAAATTGACACAAATGGGTCGTAATGCATATAATAGTATATAATTGTATATTATTTGATTTACATTCAATCGTTTCTGTTTTTACTGTATTTCTAATCAGTTATGCTCGGCGAAATGAACTAGACTAGAAGTCTCAATCGAATGGCAATCTCTAGCATCTGGTTATTCCAATCTACACCTTTAGTATTTATTGTGCATGCTCTCCAGATAAGAATATGTCGTCACCGTTTGATATGACTTGTGGAATATGTCTTATCTCGTTCTTCGAGGCCCTTATTACAAATGGTGCTAAAATGCATTAAGGTACACAAATAAATATCAGATTTCAGAAGCCCATCTTTTCCCGGTAAGATCACAACATCAATGTTGATTTAAATTGACAAATAGTTTGTGTTTTCAAGGTCGAAGACTTAGCTACTTTAAAATGGATGAACCATCTCGTTTAACACTTCACATATTTTTATACTAATCATACACGTGCAAAAGTTTTAACCAGTTTGATAGAATAATTGGTCTAGTGAATTTTGTAAAAATAAAATGATAAACAAACTTTTAATAAAGTTTCAGTAAATGTACCTGACACATGACTTGACCTTTTGTTGTATTCAAATTTAGAAGTTTTTGAAAGAGAATAATTAAAAGCCCTAAGATTGATCAGAAGAAAGGAATCAGATAACTACTATCTGCTAGACTTCACTCAATGTTGTCATAACCAAAAACTTCAAAAAATGTCTGATATTAAATTGGCAAAAAGAACAATATTGTTGAACATATTGTAAGGAAGCATGTAGAAGTCTCAATGTTTGTTTAGGGCAAAAATCAAAAAAAGGTAATTCATGGTGCAGCTCCCATATATTGATTTACAATATATCTGTGGTACGCAGATTAAAGGAAATATTTTCCTTACAGACGACCGTGTTAGTGTTGTAAGCCACAAACTCTTGTCGCTAATTTAGATAATCTAGTACACTTTGTGTTTTAATTACCGCTAAATCGCAGGGAACAAAGCTGCGCAAACAGGCAGCATTGAGCGCTATATTGGTCCCATTACCTGGTATTGACTTTGAAATTTACACAAGAGTGGGCCTACCTTCCCGGTGTTTTCATTTTAGTTGTAAAAAGATTACCAATACAGATTTATCTATTCAAGATGGAACCACAAACTATATTCTCTCTAATCTAATCAATAGACTAGCCTTTTAACCAATGCTTTCTTTGTCTGCCAAATTCAAAGATACATCTCTTGAAAGTTTAGAAGGAGATATTAAAAGCTCTTACAAATTGGTTGTACATTTCCTCTTTCCATCTCTAACATGTGTTTCTTTCATGTTGTGTGTTTTTCTAACTGATGACGGCAATTTTAAAGCGACACTTATGTGGGATACCACATTCTTTACATAAACTTCATCTAGTCGATACGACCCAAAGAGACTGACAAATTTCTCAAAAAGATTACGTAAATAAAAGGCAAACAATCACTCTTCCACATGGATAGCGTTAAATGCAAACAATTGGGTGAATTAAACATCGCAAAAATTGTGGTAAAATTACACTTAAAGATTTTTTAAAATATCCAATGTATTGCATATGATATGATTTGTTGCAATACTGGTTCAATATCGATGGTGTTTTGCCCCTGGGCTCGGTTCAGGTTTGTGTGTCTGCTACTCTTTGTAGTGTGTGAAGGATAACAAGACTTCACTTAACATCTCGTTGATTTTAATTGTTAAGATTACACGTTCTGTATACCCATAGATTAAGAAGCTGAAGGACTCATAATGGAGGCTTTTAGTAGATATCTAAAGTGGTTTGCTTAAAGAAATTCAACTGTGAAGGTGTGAATAAGTGCATGTCTTAATAATTCTTCTTCTTTAACTTTAGTGTTATCAAGGGTAGTCCAAACTAGCTGCAAGTATCATTAAATCAGAGTTGAGCATTTTTAATATGTTTTGAAGATATTTTTCTGATGTTATGTTCGTTTTATTAACATGTCCATGAAAATGGTCTCTCAACTAAGGCCAAGTGTCATCAAAGAAAATGGTTTAAGAGCCGCTTTCAGACGTCCCCTGAAACACAGAGATTCTTGTCATAATTTTGCCCGTCTGTCTTAAGACTAGTGTTTTTATATTTATTTTGTATAAGGCTAAGAGTCTTTCACATCATCTGGAGTTGTTCTTGAAGATTTTTGGATGGTTCTTCATTATTGATGTTACTACAATTCATTATTAAATCAAATAACGCCTGATAGAAAATTTATAATAGTCTCTGTAAATTTATTGTAATCCTTTGTGCTGAAGAATAACTCACCCTTACAGTCATAAATTAAATTTAATTACATCTTATTAATAAAGTACTGTTAAGAAAATGAATTGCCCGTTATATTGTTTTTACTAACTTCTGAGTACGTCTGCTACAGATTAAAGACATCTTTTTTGTCTCCAGTACAAAATAATGTTTAATCTGTCAGTTTGCGTTTTCTTTAATAATAGTAATAATAATCGTTTTCTATAGCGCTGATCATTCAGTCAGTCGGACTATGGCTGCTCTGTGTCTTTGCAAAACACACTGATACCACTTCCTTTTTTTTTTATTTAGAAGGTTCATAGCTTGCATAGATAGTTATATTCATTGTATTTCTGTTTTTTGTGATAATTGAAAACTTATTAAGGTGAAGTAGAAATTTTGTACTGCTCAAGATGCTAATGGAACTGGATAGAAAATCAAAGTATGATAGAATCTCAGTTTATGGCCCATATACAAAATAATATACAACTACAGGTTTTTTAGTACATAGTTAATAGAATTTTGTCTTCATGTTTGAGATTTTTTTATTTTTAGATAATATTCTGTCTCTTTTATGTCTTGTTCACCCATTTCTAGAGAAATTTATACAGTATTAACTTTTAAGAGGGCTTTCTTTTGGTAAAAACTTAACCAATCTGGAAAATAATCAAAATAAAATATTAGTAGAAAGAATTAAATCATGTTTTTCTGAATTTGAATAGGACTATTTCTATATTCGTGTAGGACAAGGATTAAGTGTCGAAAATGTCTTCCTTCCAATATTACTGACACAGAACAAAATCTGTGTTTTTACTGATTTTATTTCTTTATTCAGATCACAAGATAAAAAACCCAATTGTTTTCTCACTGATTGACTCAAAGACATGAAAAGATTTAGTTTTACTGCAAGGCATAGATAAATATTTTATACTTTAGTGAATGCTCTCTTTTGTAACATTGGAATGGATTTGTTCATTGTTTGACCGTTTTTATGAAGTAAAGAATCGTGTAGGCAGGTTTTGTCAGCATTGTTCTTAGGTTAGGTACAATACTGTTATTGGCAATGTTAATGCTTTTTACCAGGTAGAGACACCTGCGTTCAAATAAATCGCCAATGATGGCAACGATCAATTAGTTACGGCTCAGCTTTAAGACAAAAGCTCGGATAAGAAATTGGAGAAAGAATTTGCTTAAGGTGTTTAGCAGAGGTAAAAAGTGGTGAGAGTATTGAAAAGGTATTTACTTGGTCTTCAATTCAGCACAATGAGCAGTTGACAAGCTTAAAGGCATTCAGAGTGGTTTCACCAACTACTAGCAAATCTTGTAACACATTTTGACATTTGAACAATGAGGCCAATCAGGTACTCTTAAGTAGCCATTTATTTATCTCAAGTATTTTGGCAACTTCATTTGGTGAAAATGATACGTGTCTATATTAGGTACTTGTAAAAGAAGAATAATGGACGTTCATGTACTAATACTACAACTAGTGGTACTTCACTTGTATATTTTCAAGCCTGCGATTTGTTTGTTCTTGTGGTATTAATGGGGACCAGTTTGTGTACGAGGGGAGGACTTTGTGACATTCAGTCTATCAATAGCCACAATTATTATAGAATCTTTTGTTTTTGGAATGCCATCTTGAAAAAATATAACAATTACCTAGTTTATAGACCCTACTTGTAAACAATACATGATAGACTGTTCTCTATCCCATTGTCTGTGGATGGGAACAGCAATAATTCCTTGGGTTATAAACAAAAATGTATATTCCAGATACAATATTCCAGACTAATTGCAAATTTGTAATTTCAGTTCATAAGTTTACACCTTAAAAAGTAGTCTTATCAAAGAGCATATTGGTAGAAAAATATTAAAACCAGTCATTTTTAAAGTTAACATTTTATTTTCTACTGAATTCATGACATCACCGGGTTTTTTTTTTGTCTTGGTATATCAGTTTTCAACTGAAGAATAACTCAGTTCTATCCATGAACGTCGCTGTCCAGATGGTATTAATTGGTATATAACTCGGGTTTTCTTACCAATAAGATTTTTCTCTAAAGAAACTTTTCAAGCCTTTTTTAAAAAATATACACAGTCCTTATGGTTTTAAATCATAGTATACAAAATATTTATATTACCCTTCACATTAAATATATATTTCAATGGATATGATTTAAGAATATTATTCATGTTCAGACTGTTCAGTGGTTGTTGCAGGATCAGGGCACCAGATTCACAGCTAGGATGTCCTGTGTCATTTTTGTACGCCCGAACATCATTTGCGTATTTGAAAGAACCCTTGGCAGTTATATATCAAAGTAGAGTAGGCAAAAATGCCACTGTTTGTGCAAAATTATTCTACCCAGTATTGCACATGCAACCATATACATAACAAACACCATGTTTGTCTGAAGTACAGTGACATGGTGCAAGTGGCAAGATAATTTTGGCATTTTCTTTATGAAGAGATTTGTTTGTGTTTTTCAGGAGGATATAGTGCTTACGGAGGACAAGGTGGAGGAGGAGGATATCGAGATCAAAGTTACGGTGGTGGTGGTGGTGGTAGACAGAACTACATGCAGGGTAACCAAGGTCATAGTGGTGGAAGTTCAGCCTATTCTGCTTATCGGTGGGTAAATTGTTTAAAATAAAACCAATAATGCTGTTATATTTTGCTGAAAGATAATCTTAAATTAATAATGGAAATTCGCGTTTTAGAGACAGTTTTTAAATTTTTGCTTGTTTGAATTTATTTTATAAAAGGTTTGACTTGATTGTCCCAGATCGGGAAAGAATTTGAATTGTCACATCAAGGAATTGAACAAAAAAAACCTGGCGAACTGATAAAATTATTGGTGTCAGTGAAACTATTACAATTAATAATACTTTTGCAGTCCCATTCATCTTTAATTGAACCAATTCATCATGACACTCCCCTCTGAATTATCCCATTTATCCTGCTCCCAATATGGATGTTAAATTGTTAGAAGAAATATGGTGTAAATTGTGTTATTGTTAAACACTAATGAGGATTTAATTTGGTGTTAACAATAACACCCCATGATAATCGCTATCTCTCTAGCTTGTATTTAATAAATTTGGGGATAGTATAGGAATTGTAATATCTCTGATAAGTGTGTTTATTGATGTACTTAGTAAGATTGACATCTTTCATAATATCTAATGGGGCAATCCTAATGTCTATAATGATTCTAATGAAAGGTACTTATTAATTGATGAACCATAATAATTTGTAATTTGGAACTGTTTAAATAAGCTTAGGCATCTGGATCTTTGAATTTGTAGGATGTTGGGATAAATTTAAACTTCTCTTGTCTTAGTATGTAATTAGATGAAATTCAATCATTGTAACTTTTGTCGAAAAATCTTTATTACAAACTACAGTAAAAGATTTCTTTTATCTAGTGTAAGCTGGACATGAATGCTCTTCTTAAAATGTTCTATAGCCTTGAAATTCTGGATGTACTATTTGATCATATGTAGATATTTAATGCATGGATTTATTTTTTTAAATATTGAATTTAGTTTTAGTCTGAACTAACTATTGATGACCATTTTTTCGAAAATAGACAACAGGTATGTCTCAAAATAGAATTCCACGCAATAACTTCTCTGTCTTTTTAATTAGGCAGAAAAACTGCTGTCCGGGCAAAATTTTCATCTTCATTAGTCTGCTTGCTGCAGAAAAGTAGGAAGTTAAACCCTATTTCATTTTATTTCTAATATTTTAATCCAGTCTGGAATTTAAATATTCCAGGAATGTTAAAGGCTAGTTCTATAAATATTTAGAATAAATCCATTAATGATAGGTAATCAAACATCATCAATAGCTAGCAAGTCGACGACCATGTATCTGTTGCTAAATAAATTGAGGCTGGGGTTCAGATGTACAAATTGGCCACCAGGTGCTAATGCTCATGTGAGAAAGTGAAACAATTATCATAGGAACATATTCAATGCCCGACCAAGGTGTTGACGCAAATTATTCCCGGGATGAGCGATAATGAGAAATTAAGGGACATCTGTGGTCAACGGTCAAGCTGTGTGTTCGTAAGGGCATTGCAGGTCAACTTAGCCCAACCCCTACATTGTCCCAATTGGTCACTCATTGACCATAGTCAGTGGGACCCTACAAGTTTACATTTTAACAAGATTGACTTAAAATTTGTGGACAATAAGCACACTCTTTAGGGTATTGTGGACATCTAAATAGAAGAAGAGTTAGTTAAATCTATCTACGAGTAATAGCTGGGGTAATACACACATTGCCAAACAAAAGTTAGCCCAACTTCTAACCAGTCTGGGGAAACACCAGGACAATGACTGAAGTGCTTGTCTACAAGGTTTAAAGAGGAATGGTAAGAGGACGGATGGCAATGTTCTGACATTAGAACAGGGGGTCGGAGTTGAAGATGGAGTTTGAAGAGGTTGTTGATAGCTATAGTTTGACTATCTTCTCGTACCAGTTTATATTATTATTATTAGCTTTCTTCAAGGTTAAAGTGACCTAATCTATTCAAGTGGTACTTGAAAAGAAAATGCCAGGACTTGATGTGAAATCAACTTCTGTTAGTCTCGTGAAATTATCCTTTAAATAATGAAAACTATTCTTCCCAGTTAATCAAATAGCGAACAAATGGTATATTTGTTCCTATACTTGTATTTGATAAATCATTTCACAACACTGCCATCTGTTTACAGTTGAAAAAAAAATGGTTTGGCTTAAAAGATTGTGTAATGATAATAATAATATTCGCAAATCTCAACTAAGATAAAATTGGAAAGGGCTACATGACAAAAGGCCAGAAAAATACATTTCATTATTAAAAAAATAGATAAAATGAACTAACATGTATTAATTACTGGTATACACATGTTATATTGTAATTGAACAAAATATCAAATTTGGATAGTATTTAGAATAGACACCGAAAAATAATCTGGAATAAGCACGAAAGCTATGTGAACAATATTTGACAATCATGCATCTAGCTTTTCTAACTGCTGTAAAAACATAACTTTTCATCAAGAGACTTTTTACATGAATTTGAGTTTTACAATTATTTATGGCACAGGTCTCACCACACCACTGGAATATCACATTTTCGAATCCTGGCTTTGACCAAGAAGGGTCTTATGGACTTTTTAATCCTAACCTTCACTTGTCAGGGAAGGCATGAATTAAAGAAATTAATTTTATTTTTATTTTTAGTGGAAATGAACCATGGAGGCAAGGAGGAGGAGGAGGAAGTGGTGGTGGTGGAGCAGCATATGGTTATAATTATGGAAATAATGACAGTAGAGGAGGTGGTAGTCGAGGAGGTCGAGGGAATATGGGAGGATATGGAGGAGGGGTAGGTATTTTTTACTTTAGAAAAACAACAAAACATCAGACATCAAATAAACCAACCTTTCCTCCACATAATCTTTAAAAACATATTTAAAATTTGTATAGTAAATTGACATGAATTAAAATAATGGCATTTACATAATATTATGTAAGTAGAATATTGGCACCTGAAGAGTTAAATATAATACTTGACATTATAAACATAGAAATATTACTGGAACTGGCATGAATTAACCTAGGAATTAACATAAAATTATACACAACTAAGGGTTAACATGAAATATAACAATATTTGTCATTCTGAACAATGAATTGAAATGAAATAATATTTGGCATAATAATCAAAAAATTCACATAAAAAGATACTTGACATTATAATTTACATGTACATGAATCATTACTTGAAATATACAAGAATTTACATGCAACATGACTTGACATTATAAACAAAGAATTGACATGAAATAATACTTGATATTATAAAAAAAACAATTGACATAAAGGAAAACTAAGACTAATTTACATGATGCATAATTAATAATTGACTCAGCATATAGATTTAACCAATTAATAGTACATGGAAACTTAAGGCTCACTTGAACAGTGGATGGCCATTTAATATCAATGATTTATGATCAACATAATATTGGAAAACAACGATAAAAAATTCATAAATTGTTAGTGTAATGTTAAGGGCAAGTATCCCACATTTTAGGTGTTCTGGGGGTAAATAAAGAAGTTGTTTTTCTACAGAAAGTGCAAATCTATTATTCTTGTATAATATCTGTTTTCTACTGATTATATTGATCTGATGTTTACTAAAACTTGTTAATACTTTGAACTGTTGTCTGAGTATTGTTTATATATGGACCATGGATTGATTACTATGAATATTCATACAGTTAATACTTTAGACAGGCCATTTTCTAATCAAGTCAAGTATTGACACTTTAACATCAGGCCTTTTTACTGTCAATATTTTCATTTTTCATCCGAATGTAAACCGTTCCTCCTTCATTTTAATGATCTCGATTGTAGATCCTGTTTTATCTCACGATTGTACCCAAATAACCTTTCACCCCCACACAACTGTATCAATGGAAATATATAATTGTTTGCCACAATTGTGTAGATGAAATGTTGAGAGCAAGGACAAAGCAGTATATTCAAAGTTTATCTAGTTTTTGTCAACATCTTGTGCCCCGCCCCCCTAACACTTGGTGTCACTACTTGGATGAAAAAGTTGAATCCGAAGCAAAATATTTTCCTAAAGGTTTGTTCAGGTGGTTTAATGTTATGAATGCAAGATTTTGACACAACAAGTACATGTGCATATGAAGCATGTTCTGGCCGTTTCGTATGTTGTTATAAGCTTTTGTTTGATTATTATCTGTTCTCTGTAATTGACACTTGACGTAAAATTAAGTTGGATTATAAAGGCTGTCGTTATTATCCTTATCCCCAATCAAAATACAGTGGCTAGAGTTTTTTCCCCCCTGATGAAATGGAAATTATGAAAAGATATGAAGGGTCAGTGTGTTCTAATGTCATGTATTTTGTGTAGTCACTGCCGTCTTCCTAGTCAGACTGATATCATTAGCGGCAACAATACCAATCTGATAAGAGAGATAAGATGGTTGTACTTTGACAGAAAAAACATGTCTTTACGGACCAATGACAAGCGATCATTAATCAGAGAAACACCATTGGAAACCCCATCTTACAATATTACCCAATTCCTTGCTTTTGAGGGTCTAAATTTTGTGTCCATGTAATGTAATGTGATAAGCAATACACATGCATTTATAATATAAAAAAAATTAATTTGATAAAAATGCCCATTTTCAAAGCCTCTGTATACATAACCAGATTAGGTTGCTGTTTTAGTAAAAAAAAAAGTTACTGTTGGAAAAGACCTTAAAGAAGCATTCTCACTTTTAACAAGAAAATAAATTAATTATATATAATATTCAAAATAGTCTGCCCTGATTATCAATATATTCCACAGTGCTTTGCTTGAGCCTCTACTGATCTTGATGAAAACTACTAGAAATTGATTGGCAGACCTGCCTCAAATTGTGCCTTCAATCTAATTTTAAACACTCCTTCAATATACACAGCAAATTGAAAATTATTTTTTGAACGACTGGCCCCCAATCCATATACCGGTAGTTCTGACGATTTTGTAAGGGAGGTCATATAAGGAAACTCTTTGAGATCACACACTATTGTGAAATATAATAAAACAAAATTTGAAGAATAGAGACCGAAACAAAATATAATCTGTGTTTTAATCAGATTGGACACAACTGATTGGCAATGTGTCACCCATCTTTATTAGCCTAGTTGGTGCAGAAAGGTAGGATGTCAAAACACATTTCTTTTATTTTCATTTCTGTTCGACATTGCAAGCACGACTTATTGGTCAATTTAAATCAACATTGATGTTGTTATCTTACTGTGAAAAGATGGGCTTCTGATATCCAATATTTAAGGCAAAATGAAAATTTTAAGACAAACTGAAAATTTTAAGATTGGCACACGTATTGCATGCCAGAATGCTTTCAATCGCCATTTGTATTGAAGCAACTCAATAAACTAGGCTAAACATACCCCACAGGAAAATACTAATGATGTAGAGTGGACTCTTCACGTATTTCGCCGACAATAAAAAATTACACTTAAAACAGAAATGATTATATACATCCATTTTAAATTATTATATACTTTGTGACCCATTTGTGTTCATTTTTAGGTGCCTAAGAATAGGGATTTAGCTCATTTAAGGTGTGCTGTAATACCAAGACTACCAGCATATATACATGTACAAATATATTTTATACTGTATTTTCAGTATCAAGACAACAGACGTGGTGGATATGGCGGTGGTAGTGGAGGTGGGGGCGGGGGCAGAGGAGCTCATAGACGCTTTTGAAGTTGCAGTTCATCATCCATCCAGATTCAGTCCTTTTGTTGATAATTATTGAGATATATCAACTTCCTTCACATAACATTGAACAAGACCTGAATTATTTCAGTATTATACTTGAAACAGAATCAAGTTCTTGTGGATCTGAATTTTAGAGCTCAACATTTTAAAGATATTTGTTGTAATTAATGTTGTGATTAAATTATTCTCCAAAAAAATAAAATTTTGTACTTATTATTTAAAAACAATTTAAATATGACTTATTTTTACATTTATATTAATTTGTCTTCTAAAAGTAAAAGATCTATCTCTTGGGTAGTAGAAGTCTAGCTAGCTAACCATCATTTGGAGAAAATATATACTTGTTCTGAAGAGAATTATATAAATTGAACAAGTTGTCTTATAAATGATATATCGCATCTTTTTAGACTTGAGAATGTGTGAGCAATGTGCTAACAAGATATTCCCTTAGCTCACATACCAATGACCTAATAGTGGAATATTCAGTTTTATAGATTCATGAGGCACTGTGGGTCTATTATTTTATTATTCCCATTAATTGGAATTCTCATATTTTCTTAAGTTTTATATATGATCCAATTATCTTCAAAGGAATATATCTTTATAAAAATAAGGTAAAATATATTTTAAAAAAATTGATTAATGAACACTGAATGTAGTTTTACTTTAAAATAAGTGCAAAAATTACATATCTTTAATTAAGATCACTGCTACATGGTTTATTCTTCTCTGAAGTCAAAAGATTAGATAATTTCTATAATTTGGAAACTTTGTCCTTAACATTTAGAAAACAACCATCTTTTTTCTAAATCTGAAATGGAAACATACTGGTTGACAAATAAAGATATTAATTATAGAATTTATTATTGTTCTTAATTGGAGAATTAATGTGTATCTATTTTAATTTTTTTATTTAAAAAAAAATCTGTTGAACTGTTGATTTATGTTATAGGCTTACATTTTATCATTTCATATACACTTTATACATGTTTTAGAAGAACTCATCTGTATATAAGAATCAAATGATAGATACATTAAAATCATTAGTAATACCATCATTGTTAAGAGTTGTTGTTCTTTATATGAATATTAGATTGTATAATTCTTATCTACCTGGGGGGTTGGATGGCCGAATGGTTAGCATGTGCGCTGTATCGTATGGTCTGTCATTGAGTCAACTGGTGTGGTGTCGATTCCCCAGTTGTACGTGACGAGGAGCAGGGTCACCTGTCTAACCTTGTGGGTTTTCTCTGGGCCCTCCTGTTTCCTCCCACTGTTGAAAGACTCCTACGCGCAAGCGAATTATTGATATAAAATGGAACTATGTGTTAGTCCCGAAATGACCTAGTTGGTGTCGAGTGGATGTTAAACCCCATTTCTCTCTCTCTCTGACAATTCACCGTAGATCCATTTTAAGATGCATTATGTAAGATTGAAATAAAGAGTTGGCCATGCTTGCTATAATAGTTCAAAAACAGATAATGAAAAATGAATATATTGAAAATTCCATTCAAATTACTTTATTCTGAGTGAATAAATATAGCATAGATTGTTCATTATCATACTTGGCAGGCAAGATTTAGCCTCGATTGTCCATTTTATTATTAAATTTTTAAATCTCGTAGATGTTTAAATCCATTAAAATCTCATGACTTCCGCTGATCTAGAGAGTTGATTATAGGATTTTCATGCTAATAAATATCTAAATAATCATTTATGACATTTGAATCCAAAAGAAAGACATGAAATAGGCAGATTTAGCTCTTACATAATGCATCTTTAAGATCATTTGTTTTTGCCGTGTTTCTATCTTGAGCCTTTCCCACAGGAACCAGAACCAAGCACCTTTAAGAGATCTGTGAAGGGAGCCAATAATGAAAATGCCTCATTTTATTTCCTTTGTTATCCTTGTTTCCTGAAACATTTGTCAATTGAAGATCTCCCCTCCCCCTTCCCCTTCCCCTGCATAAACAAATCTCAGTAGCCCAGACATTTAAAAACAGTTTTATTACATAATAGGTATGTAGGAAATGATGATGGTTAAAAAATTATAGGATCATATGGTCTCTTTTGAACTTTACACGAGCCCATCTATAAAGAATTCTTGCCTTCTTTCCATATAAAGTTATCACTAAGTATAAATAAAACGGTATTAATAAGTTATAATTCCCTGTATTGTTGTTTATATCACGCCCGGGGAATTGCCTTCCCCCTCTTTATCATTCAACCTGCTACTCGCAGATTGTGATTAGTAAATACAAGCTACAATGTCTACGAAGTATTAAAAAGAAACTATCAGAACGATTCGACTTTAAGGAACCAAAGGTGGCACCAAAGACACGACCTTATAGATCGACAATCCTCTAATCATTGTGGAGTATTTAACCAGCCCAATCTCAGGGTGTGTTTGACAGCACCGATTGGATTAGCCCGGCTGACATATGGCGGTAATTCTCGTCTGCTTTATCTTGTCAGAACCCAATTCGACAGACATGTTTACCAAAGACTCGTCGATTTCATTAGCAAGCAATCTTCAGCTAAACTAAGAAGAAATTTCTGATTTTATTTGCATATTTCATCGAAAAACGAATAAAGGCATATCGACTGTCAGATTGACCGGAGGCGAATAGAGAACAAGCACACACGATCTGTCAAAGATCTTGGTTGTTACACAGAAACACCAAATGCAGAGTTTCAAATGTCATTTTTTGAAAATTGGCAGGGTGTTATGCGATGAGAGTAAAGATTTATCATCATCGAAACCATAATATTTTGTATCTTAAAATCGGAGTATATATCCCACCCCTGAAGTATTTGGCGGGTTAAATGGCAGTTTATGATCCCTGAAGATTTTCTGAAAATATAATCGGCCATGTTGATAAAACTTATTTAGCCCTAATGATATTCAGTGATTTACTGTGCATTTGCTTCTTCCATAGATGTTTGCCTCTTGAAGCTGGGAGCTACAGTGGTTCAGTTAATAGGACGCTGGCTGACTAAACAGGAAATCTCGGGTTCGCGCCTGCTTTTGGCCGAGAGAGTTCCTCGCCATTTTCCGGCGCGTTTTCCACATGCCAGTGGTGCAGGACGTAGAGCCTGGCAGGAGACAACGTATAGTCGTTTGGATGGGGCGAATAACCGAGGTCCCGCGTATACATTGGCATGCACATAAAAGAATCCTTGACTGTTGGAATTCGCAATAAGAGTAGGTCGTAGCGCGACTATCCAAGCAAAATTTCCCTCCTCGCATACTATATGGTGTATGCGCGTCTTCATTAGCCCAATCAGTGTAGAAAAGTAGGACGTTAAACCCTATTGCATTACTCTTAAAGCTAGAAATTGATATTTATCATTTTAAGTCAAGACATTAATTTAACTATGGCACTTGCTTCATAGTAATATTGCGACACAAACGACAAAGCGATAGTTGGGTCAGTGTATGTTAATTCCCGATAATTTTTAATCCTACGCTATTCACACTAAAGTCCGGAAGTAGCCTAGGCCTATTCGTTTCTGGCCTTCTTTGGTAATATATTTTAATAATCTATCCATCCACGGCATTACCACAAGAATAATTTTGATTCCAGTTTACTTTACCGAGCTGAAATTTACCCCAGGCAAGGAATAAAAATCACAGAAGTTCTTATTAAAACCTACTCCTGAAGCGTCATTATTACAGCACGATTAAGGGAGTGTAATCATCTTTGTAGAAGGAACCAATTGTCGGTGTTTTACAAATCACTTGATTTACTCTATTGGCGACAAGTTGTAAATGAAAACTATTGGCGGTCGTAATTCTTCTTAATGGCTGCCAAATGACCGAATATTCAATTTAAAAATTGCTTAAACTAAGAAAGCTAATGTGCGGTTTACATGGAATTGTTAGAACTCTCTTCGATCAATTTTGCAAGTTGACGTCAGGTGACGTGTATAATGGCGTATTTCTCACGCGCACGCGCCTCGTTTACATCGTTGAACCGAACACACGCGTACGTTCACCTTTGAAACGTCAAAGTGCTTTGTGCCTACGGGCTATAAACTCGTGATAAAAATTTTAAAAGCTAAATCTTGCAAATTGCCCTTGGAGGAATTTTTACAGTTGACTAAATGAAAATTAGAGCTCTCAGATTCGTAAGAAAATTGGATAGAAGTTGCATCTGCCTGAGTTAGTTGTAATATTTTCCACGGATGCCCTAAGTCTTTTATAGACTGTATAACCCATTTAATATTTTCGCTTATTTGACTTTTCAAGATATTTCTCCATTATTCTTGATTTCTAATGGTGAAGATTTTGATTGGAAGCAATTATCGGCTGGAAAACTGGTTTCATTGCCTTCTTTCTTTTTTTAAAACCGTATCTGCCTTTTTATCTTTTTTACGAAATATTGTACAATTTTTCGTCTTCAGTATTCATTTTCAGCATTTGTATTTTTGTTTTGTTTTATCTGTTTTTGCTTTGGCACCTGTCACCTGTCTGTACTCTTTTTTGTAAATCATAAGCAAATCTTTATAAAAACATATAAAGACACTTTTCTTTTTTTTAATATTTTTCTTTATTTGGTTTCTTAATCATGACGCTGACAGTGTAATGATGACAATGTAGTGGTAATACATTTTGACTTAATTATATCGGCAGCTCGTAAAATAAAACATGATGCGATAGGCAGTAAATTCTTACTGCACAACAAAACCCGAGAAAGGCTCACGGCATAGACATTTATAACGAATTATAATACACTAACAACCGGTAAAAATATGCCTAATAAAATAAAGGGTCATCCCAATGGTATCGGGGCCTCGGGAAATAGTAGGCATACGACACATATCGCAACTTCCAGCTGTAACGAAATTTAGAATGCTTAATAACATAGAGAATGGCGATAAATAACATGAAATGAGGTTTAATGTCCTACTGTTCTGCTCCGAGGGAAATTTTTCCGGACAGAGACACTACGACCTACTCTTATACCGAATTACAATGGTCAAGGGATCTTTTACGTGCACATGTGTACACGGTACCTCGTCCCATCCGAACGACTAGACAGCTGTCCTTGGAAGGCCATCGCCCTGCATCACTGTCAAGAGGGAACCACGCCGGACAATCTGGATGAACTTTCTCGGCCAATGCAGGGATCGAACACCCGACGTCCAGGCTAGCAAGCCGACGTCCTACCAACTTAGCCATCGTGACCCCTACGATAAATAAAGTATATGCTACATTTAAAGTCTATTAAAACCCCAACTTATATGGCCGTCTCTGAGGTCCCTGTTTTGTAGTTTGGGTTTAAGCTGCGTTTTTATTTTAGGGTACAAATGAAAGAAAATACACCAGAAAAATTAAAGATATATAACTCATAAACGCATAACTCATAACCATCTATTAAAAGATATCTTAAATCTACCTGAAATATATTTATATACATACTCTATAATCTATCCGTACAAATTTTATGCATTTATTCAGTACATTTGCCAGATGATATTTTAGAATGTGTGGGCTGAAGTAGCAACAACAGGCGTAGTGGTTGACGTTGTATAATCTTGTTTCATTTATTATGCAATTTGAATATAATTCTATTTTCACCATTCGTTGAAAATATGCATTCGAATAAAAATAAGTATGAATTTTACGCTCCAACATTGTAATCAAATTAACTTTCTATCATCAAGATTTTCTGCCACGGAAGGTAAGAGTTGTATAGACAATTAGTATTCCAAATGGTTATAATCCAAGAATCATTCGCCACAATACGCAGCACCGTATTCAAATAGACAGTTTGTCAGATGTTTAAAATGTAGTACAACATAAAAATTAAAACGAAACGGAACTAATACCTAATTTATTGACAATGAATTACACCAGAACTACAATATGAGTATTAAATTTTGGCTCATACTTCAAGAAAATTTGGGTGTACCTCTTTGGCATTAAAGGCATGCAAGTCCTGAAAAAGTTAAATATAATTTATAAATACTTCAAGTAAAAAGAAAACAACGAGCTTTTTTCAGTTTATATTAAAGGAGCTAAATCGCTAACATTTGGGACCTAGAAATTGAC